CTCCCCAGTGGCGATGTTCACTACACACCGCACCAGGTTCTCATTTGAGGCTGAGTCGACGTAGGGGACGCCCGGGACCGGTTTAGATAATGGCTATAGCTATGCGGTATTGGTGGTGGCCCTGAGCAGGGAATTGAACGCGGGTTTCTGGCCGGGTTCGTGATAGAATAGCAGCGCGCTAACCGCTGGGCCACCGCTCCCCATCACCATCATCATCACCACCATCACAATCATCGTCAACATTAGCATCATCACCATCATCGTTAACATCATCACCACCATCAACATCATCACAATAATCATCGTTTACATCACCATTATCGTTTACATCACCATCATCACCACCATCGTTAACATCACCATCATCACCACCTTCATCACCACCGTCATCACCACCTTCATCACCACCTTCATTACCACCGTCATCATCGTCAACATCACCACCATCATCATTATGGCTCGGAGCGTCACGCACTAACTGCTGCGCCACCGCTCCACACAACAACCGCCATTCGGCACTACTGGCGGTGACGTCACCACGACGCTTGTGCCAGGCCATGTGCACCTTGAGGCCAAGTGAAGTGTCGAACGCCCGCTGGCAGGAGGTCCCGGGCAGACCCAGGTGCCACGAGTCGACTGACTGAGATGACCGAGATGACTGGCTGAGGCACCACCTGTAACTCCTACTGTGCCAACTTGCTGTGCTTTAGCCACCCGGCGCTCTGCTCGTTGTTGTGAGCGTCGCTCCTCCGCCCTCTGTTGTTGTTGGAGGGCGACTGCCTCCAACTGCCCAGTAGCATCCTTTACGAGCCTCCTCTACTGAGGTCGATCTTGACACCGCTGGTACCAGTCATCGGCAAGTCCACTCAGCTCCACGTCCTCCTGTACCACTCACTCCATCTCTTCTCTAGCCCGTGCCGCGCCCATTTAGCCCTCTCTATCCGGCCAAACAAAAGCTGTTTAGGCATGCGGTGATTGGGCATGCGGGCTACATGACCCAGCCAACACAACCTTGCCTGCCGGAGGAGCTCACCGATGGGACTTTGTCCAGATATTTCAAGGATTTGTGAGCTCCTCACACAATCCAGCCTGGTTAAACCCAGGATGGATCGTAGGCAGGCCAGCCTAAATGTTTCTAACTGGCAAAGATGTTCTATTAGGGGGGTCCACGTTTCGCAAGCATAGAGAAGGGAGAGAATGACTGTGGCCGAGAAGACCCGAAGCTTCGTGCGGAGCGACAGACCAGGTAGCTTCCACATAGCGTTATGCAACCGATGAAAAGATAATGCCGCTCGACTGATTCGGAGTGAGACCTCTGCTGTTAAACCGGAGCCGGTCATCAGCACACTGCCCAGGTATGGGAAACTCTCCACTCTCTCCACAACTGCCCCATTACCAATTGGGAGTTGTAGGAGTGGAGTGCCCGATGGTACAAAATACCCAGGCAGGTGCTTCGTTTTGGTGGGGCTGATGGTAAAGCCCCACCTCTAAGTGGCACACTCCAGTTTCAGAAGCAGCGCCTCCAACTCCTCCTCTGAGTGAGCTGCAATTACCCGGTCGTCGGCATACATAACGTGGTTGGGCAATAGGGAGCCATCCCATGACCGCACCCGGGCAATGATCATTCTCCCATTGTATCTGTACCAGATGGAAATTCCTCCGGTACAGCTACTGAAGGCTTCATGAACTTCGTGGTCTAAATAGATGTTAAATAATGTTGGAGCCAGAGGACATTCCTGTCGCACCCCAAGGTGTACAGGGAATGGCTCTGACTGCTGGCCACGTAGTTTTACCCGGGCCCGCTCACCATCATGATGGTCCTTAATGAGCGTGAGCAGAGGGTCAGGAACTCCGACAGCACAAAGAACAACCCAGAGCCCAGGCCTACTGATGGTATCATAGGCCTTGCCCAGTTCAATGAAGCAGAGATGTAGGTCTTGTTGGAATTCCCTATACCTCTGCTGTAGCAGATAGACAGAAAATATGGCAACTGTGTGGACCGCCCTTTCCTGAAACCGCATTGGGGCTCCACCAGCCACTCCTCAGCGTGCCTAGCAAGGTGATGTTGAATAATCTTGTCCAGGACCTTTCCCGGCACACTGAGGAGTGAGATGCCCCTGTAGTTGTTACAGTGTACTCTATGCGGTCCCCCTTCTTAAAGAGGGGGACCACCAGGGCATCCTTCCAATCCTGCAGAACCCGTCCAGTGGCCCAGACTGTTGTTATGATGTCATGTAGGGCAGTCTGCGCACAAACGCCACCCTCCCTCAGCATTTCGCTTGGGAGATCATCTCTGCCTGGTGCCTTTCCTGGTCTCAGACTCTGGATCGCCTTCAGTACTTCCTCAATGGATGGCACCTCAGCCAACCACTCACTCCAATATTTGAGGCACTGCAGCCTCGGCAGGGTCATCCCCACTTTGTGCCCACATTGTTATCCAGGCTGAGGGATGTCCCCTCCCCCAGGACCTCACAGAAATGCTCAGCAAATCTGAAAACCTGTTCCTGGGGGTCGGAGATTGGATCACCGTTCTTTCCCCTAATGATGGTAATAGGTGTGGCGCTGCAGGTAACTTTTTTGATGGAATTAAAGAGCGATTTGTGATCGCGGGCCATTGAGGCAGACTCCATCTCCTCAGCAACCCGCGACCACTACCCATCCTTGCAGCGCCTCATGGCTTTCTGAACCTCCGAGCGAAGGCTGCGGTAAGCCTCCTCATTCTCCAATGTGGGATGCTGTAGCCGATGAGAGTGGGCCTGTCGCTTTTTCTCAGCCAGCTTGAACACCTCCTCTGTCAACCGGGGTTTCTGGGGAGGTCTGGACCGTGTACCCAAAGCAGCCATTGCAGCTGCATGAGCCACAGTCCTAAACCTCGCCCATTTCCCTCTCGACATCAGGAGGAGTGGAGGACGACGCCAACTGCAGCCGCAAGCGATCATTAATTTCTCACTTGCAACTATCATTAGCTAGCTGAGACCATGCCACTAAGGGTTTGAATGGGGTTCTGGGTGTACACCCACCACTGGAGTGGAAGAATGGCAGGCGCATCTTACAGATGACAAGTCGATGGTCAGTGGGCAAATCAGCTCCACAGTAGGTACTGGTGTCAAGGACATGGGCCCGCATCCACTGTTCCATTACTCTGTAGTCCAGCAGATGTTCTTGCTTGGACCCGGCATGTATCCATGATGTTGTGTGGATGCGCCGATGCCGGAACAGCGTGTTAGTAATTACAAGCCCATGGGCTGCACAAAAATCTAGCAGCCTCTTGCCGTTGTTATTGAGCTGATCTGGCCCATGCCTTCCAATCACTCCAGACCAGGTGCCAGCATCATGACCAACTCGGACATTCAAGTCACCCAATAAGATGACTCTATCCCGAGGGGCTACTTTCTGTGACAGGAGGTCATAGAAGGCATCTGACTCATTGGCCTTGTCTGCATCCCTCCACGGAGGTTCGTCTTCGGTGGGGGCATAAGTAACCACGACCACCACTCCTCACCTCTGGTTGATGGGAAGACAAGCCCAAAGTAGCCTGGAGCTTACAGCTTCCCACACCTCACCGCCATGCTCCCTCACCCACACACTCATCCACATACCCACCTACATACCCACATAATCGCTGACCCACTCACACACACATACAAACACTCATCACACACACTCACACACACCCCCTCACCCAGACACTCACCCACACACCCACTGACCCACACACACATATTCACACACTCATCACACCCACTCACACACACTCCATCACCCACACACCCACTGACCCACACACACATTAACACACTCATCACACACACACTCGCTCACCCACACACCCACACAACCACTGACCCACACACACATATTCACACTCATCACACACACTCACACACACTCGCTCACCCACACACTCACCCACTCTCCCACTGACCTACACACACAGTAACACACTCATCACACACACTCACACACTCGCTTACCCACACACTCACCCACACACCTACTGACCCACACACACAGTAAAACACTCATCGCACCCACTCACACACATTCGCTCATCCACACACTCACCCACACACCCACTGACCCACACACACATATTCACACACTCATCACACACTCACACTCGCTCACCCATACACTCACCCACTGACCGACACACACATATTCACACACTCATCACACACTCACACACACTCCATGACCCACACACACACACACACATTAACACACTCATCACACATACTCACACACACTCGCTCACCCACACACCTACTGACCCACACACTATATCATCACACATACTCACACACACTCGCTCACCCACACACTCACCCACACACCCACTGACCCACACACACATATTCACACACTCATCACACACACTCGCTCACCCACACACTCACCCACACACCATCTGACCCCCACACACAGTAACACACTCATCACACACACTCACACACACTCCATGACCCACACACACACATTAACACACTCATCACACATACTCACACACACTCACTCACCCACACACCCACTGACCCACACACTATCTCATCACACATACTCACACACACTCGTTCACCCACACACTCACCCACACACCCACTGACCCACACACACATATTCACACACTCATCACACACACTCGCTCACCCACACACTCACCCACACACCCTCTGACCCACACACACAGTAACACACTCATCACACACACTCACACACACTCCATGACCCACACACACACATTAACACACTCATCACACATACTCACATACACTCGCTCACCCACATACCCACTGACCCACACACTATCTCATCACACATACTCACGCACACTCGCTCACCCACACACTCACACACCCACCCACTGACCCACACACACATATTCACACACTCATCACACACACTCACACACACTCCATGATCCACACACTCACCCACACACACACAGTAACACACTCATCACACACACTCACACACACTCGCTCACCCACACACTCACTGACCCACACACACAGTAACAAACTCATCACACACACTCATACGTGTCTATAAATAAACACACACTCACACACAGACACGTGTGTGTCTATAAAAAGACACATAGACACGTGTGTATATATAGACACACACGTGTCTGTGTGTGAGAGAGAGACAGCGACAGAATCTGGGAGACTCTACTCAGCTCCACATCTTGAAGGTTTGTATGATCATCTTCCCACTCGCTCACACACTCACTCATACACTCACTCATACACTCACTCACACACTCACACACTCACTCACACCCTCTCCACTCTCACACACTCGCTCACCCACACTCACAAAGATAAAAGACAAAGATCCCCCAGTATAGCCTTAACAGACTGTTCGGGCAAGTGCTGTTAGCGAGCACCTATGAAGACACTCACACACTCACACAAAGACAAATATCCCCCGTGTAGCCTTAACAGGCTGTAGGGGCAAGTGCTGTTAGCGAGCACCTTTGAAGGTCGGCACGGCACACGAGGGGGTGGGTGGTCAGCAACCACGCCCGGCCGCCTTTGTCTCCCTAGTAGCGATGTTTACTACACACAGCACCAGGTACTGATTTTAGGCTGAGTCGACCTCGGGGAGGCCCAGGACCGGTTCAGATAATCGTCACTGATGTTGGCCGTGAGCGGGAATCGAACCCGGGTCGCCACGTTCGTAGCGCAGCGTAGCGTTAACCGCTACACTACCGCTCCCCACACACACTCATGAGCGCACACACTCACACATTCTCACACTCATACACACTCACGCACACTCATGTGCGCACACACTCACATTCTCTCACACACTCACGCACTGACACACTCATGTGCGCACTCACACACACTCACTCATTCTCACACACACAGGCAAACGCTCACTCCCAGTGGCGACGCCGACTCACTCCATCTCGCGGAAGGATCTCTTCAGCTGAACAAAATCGTTGCGCGGTTCGGTTCGCTGTTAAAACAAAATATGCATATCTCATGGAAGGTTGTTCGTAAGTGCGGGTGGTGTTCGTAAGTCGGTGTGAGATTCGGAAGTGGGGGTGGTGATCGTGAGTGCGGGTGTTGTACGTAAGTGGGGTTGGTGTTGGTCAGTGCAATGGTGTTCGTAAGTAGGGGTGGTATTCGTAAGTGCGGATGGTGCTCGTAAGTGGGAGTGGTGTTCGTAAGTGGGGGTGGTAGTGAGGGTGGTGTTTGTAAGTGGGGGTGGTGTTCGTAAGTGGGGGTTGTAGTGAGGGTGGTGTTCGTAAGTGGGGGTGGTAGTGAGGGTGGTGTTCGTAAGTGGGGGTGGTGTTCGTAAGTGGGGGTGGTGGTCGTGAGTTCGGGTGGTGTTCGTAAGTGGCGGTGGTGTACGTAACATGTTGTATATTTAGAGTATGTCTTTCTCTCACCGTGCTTTCAAGTTTATATATTAGGTGTAACCCTGTGAGCCATGTGGCTCTTGACCCGGGTGCAACCGCAACAAACAAAAACATTGGTTGCTGTGTGGATTTTGTCTCTGGGTCCCTCCGGTTTTTCCCCTCCACATTTAGAATCGACGTCACCAACGCGTCGTTCGAGAGTGATTTGGCTGCTGATATAAATTTCCACACGATGATAATGATATCAGCCATTTCTGTTGAGCTGCTATCGTTTGTGGTCAGGTCGCATCTAAAAAATGAGCTACGGCATAGCTCAGCAGGGCCCTTACGCATGGTAAAATAAAAGGATATTTTAATAGTTTAGTTGAATAGATTTACTACCCATAGACTCAACACTGTCCATAGACTCACCACTGCACTATAGACTCAACACTGCACCATAGACTCACCACTGCACCATAGACTCACCACTGCACCATAGACTCAACACTACCCGGAGACTCAACACTGCACCATAGATTCAACACTACCCACAGACTCAACACTACCCATTGACTCAACACTACCCGTAGACTCAACACTGCCCATAGACTCAACACTCCCCATAGACTCAGCACTGCACAATAGACTCAACACTACCCATAGACTCAACACTGCACCATAGACTCAACACTACCCACAGACTCAACACTGCATCATAGACTTAACACTGCCCATAGACTCAACACTGCACCATAGTCTCAACACTCACCCACTCACTTATTCACCCACTCATTCACTCACACACTCAATCATTCACCAATTCAATCGCTCGCTCATTCACCCATTCACTCACTCCCACACTCATTCACCCTTTCGCTCACTCACTCACACACAGACAAAGCTTCCTCAGTGCTGTAGGGACAAGTGCCGTTAGTAGCGAGTAGCAGAGCCTATTAAGGCCGCCACTGAGGCACACGAGATGGTGGGTGGCCAGCACCACGTCCGGCCGCATTTGTCTCCCCCAGTGGCGACGATTACCACATCGCACCGGGTACTCGTTTAAGGCTGAGTCGCCCAAGGGGGGCGGGGGCGAGTTCCAGGATCATGTTCAGATCCTGGGCCTCATCCTGTCCACTCGTATTGGGCTTTGAGGGAACTGCATCTGCGGGGCTCGAGACTCCGTCTACTGGCCCCGGATGGCATTGGAGTTGAGAGAATATGAACCTTATGGCGGGACTCCGGGGTTCCCGAATAAAGGGAAGTCAAAATCGTAGTTAAGTAATATATTTTTGGCGACTCCGTCCCACCGCGCACATGAACGCCGTGACCCACCGGGCGCGGATCCTTCTGTTGTCGTATCGTCCAAGTGCATCGGCGAGGACGAATGCGCAGAAGAAACAAACCTTTGAAACTTTGATTGGCGCATCGTGTAGAGCTCGTCGAGAGGGGTAGATTGCCATGTCGTTCGCCTTCAACAGAAATAAACTGACATCGCAACGCAGTTTATGCGAGAGCCGGGTGCTTATGGGACCCGGGGTCCCGCCATAATGTTCATATGAAGGAGAGACTAAAAAACAATAGTGGGGGGGCTTTTACCCTTTCCAGCAATAAAATGGGAGTTGTGATAAGACGTTTAAACACCGACTAGATTGAACCTTCTCCAAGGAATCAAGTCGCTGCATTAACCACACACACAGAGTACTTGTGGTGAGCATGCAAACAAGCATGGCTCTTGTGATAAATTACACATTGTCTTTGAAACTGATTGGCCTACACCAGAGACAGCACCAGCCTTGTGTGTGGCCTCGTCTCTGTACCGGTGGCAGACCAGAGAACAACGGCAAACGACGAACGTTGAGATTTATGTAGTGTATAGTGAAGTGTACAGTGTAGAGTATAGTGTAGTGTACAGTGTAGTGTATAGTGGAGTGTATAGTGAAGTGTATAGTGAAGTGTATAGTGTAGTGTATAGTGTACAGTGGAGTGTATAGTGAAGTGTATAGTGTAGTGTATAGTGTAGTGTATAGTGTAGTGTGTAGTGTATAGTGTAGTGTATAGTGTAGTGTAGTAGTGTATAGTGTAGTGTGTAGTGTATAGTGTAGTGTATAGTGTAGTGTATATTGTAGTGTATAGTGTAGTGTATAGTGTAGTGTGTAGTGTATAGTGTAGTGTATAGTGTAGTGTATAGTGTAGTGTAGTAGTGTATAGTGTAGTGTGTAGTGTATAGTGTAGTGTATAGTGTAGTGTATATTGTAGTGTATAGTGTAGTGTATAGTGTAGTGTGTAGTGTATAGTGTAGTGTATAGTGTAGTGTAGTAGTGTATAGTGTAGTGTAGTAGTGTATAGTGTAGTGTATAGTGTAGTGTATAGTGTAGTGTAGTAGTGTATAGTGTAGTGTATAGCGTAGTGTATAGTGTAGTGTATAGTGTAGTGTATAGTGTATTGTATAGGATGAACGTTGAGATTTATACGGGGCACGAGGTGAGCAATAAGATCCGAATTGGTCTGTAATAAGGTAGGGCACTGACAAGGAGTTGACAGGTATGTAGTAGTGTAGTGTATAGTAGTGCAGTGTATAGTGTAGTGTATAGTAGTGCAGTGTATAGTGTAGTGGAAAGTGTAGTGTATAGTGTAGTGTATAGTGTAGTGTATAGTTTTGTGTATAGTTTAGTGTATAGTGTAGTGTATAGTAGTGCAGTGTATAGTGTAGTGGAAAGTGTATAGTTTAGTGTAGTGTATAGTGTAGTGTATAGTGTAGTGTATAGTTTTGTGTATAGTTTAGTGTATAGTGTAGTGTATAGTAGTGTAGTGTATAGTGTAGTGTATAGTTTAGTGTATAGTGTAGTGTATAGTGTAGTGTATAGTGTAGTTTACCGTTTAGTGTATCGTGTAGTTTATTTGTATTATTTTATTATTTCCCTTCTACGTAACTTTACCGAAAGAACCAATAATATGGATCCTTGCAGTCACGAAAGCTAAATCAAAATTTAAGTGTAGTGTAAAGTTTAGTGTATAGTATAGTATATAGTAGTGTATAGTGTAGTGTATAGTGTAGTGTATAGTAGTATAGAGTAGTGTATAGTAGTGCAGTGTATAGTGTAGTGTATAGTGAAGTGTATGTATCTCTACGAGTCTTTACACATCTCTATGTATCTCTACACATCTCTGAGTCTCTACACATCTCTATATATCTATACACTTCTCTATGTATCTCTAGACATCTTCGTATCTCTACACATCTCTACGTGTCTCTAAACATCTCTATACATTTATATGTATCTCTACGGGTCTCTATATATCTCTACACATCTCTATGTATCTCTACACAATATCTATGCATCTCTACACATCTATACGAGTCTCTACGCATCTCTACGAGTCTCTATACATCTCAATGTATCTCTATGTATCTCTACGAGTCTTTTTTTTATATTTCCCTCATTAAAATGCAAATCAATTTATAACATTTTTGACATGCGTTTTTCTGGATTTTGTTGTTATTCTGTCTCTCACTGTTCAAATAAACCTACCATTAAAATTATAGACTGATCATTTCGTTGTCAGTGGGCAAACATACAAAATCAGCAGGGGATCAAATACTTTTTTCCCTCACTGTATCTATCCATCTCTATGTATCTCTGTATATCTTTATACCCCTCTCCCCGACCTTCTCTCTCTCCCCCAGCACGATGTCCGAGAGGCAGATCCCCTTCTCCAGGCCCCTGTTCCGCCACCCCAGCTGGGACCCCTTCCGTGAGTGGATGCCCCCCCAAGTGCCACTGAGGCTGCCCGACCAGGACTTTGGGATGGCCGCTCCGTACCCCAGCCTGGCCTCCTGGGACGCGGCCTCTCTGGGCCTCCCCGACTGGGCCCGTGGCGCCTGGCCCTCGTACACGCGGTGAGATGGTGGCGGTGGTGGTGGAGGTGGTGGAAGTGGTGATAGATAGGGAGGTTGGATGAGGAGGTGGAGGAGGAGGATTAGGAGGTGGTGGTGGTGGTGTTCGCGAAGGTGGTGGTGGAGGTGATGGAGGTGGAGGAGGGGGTGGTGGCGATTGAGGTGATGGTGGAGGTGGTTTAAAAGAGGGAGGTTGGAGGTAGTGGAGGTGGGGGAGGGATTGGAGGTGAAGGAGGTGGTGGAGGGGATGGTGGTGGTGGTGGTCTTGGTGGAGGAGTAGTGGGAGGAGGATGGGGAGGTGGAGATGGAGGAAGTGGAGGTGATTGGGGTGGTGGTGGTGGCGATGGAGGTGATAGTGGATGAGGAGGTGGAGGTGGTGGAGAAGGAGGAGATGGTGGTTTTGCTGGAGGAGGAGGTGGTGGAGAGGGAGGATGGAGGTGATAGAGGAGGCAGTGGAGGTGGTGGAGACGGTGGAGGAGGTAGAGGAGGCTCCGCCATCAATTGGGCGAGGCAGCGAATGGGTCTGTGACGCTCGCTCCCTGTGGAACGAACGGACAACATTGGCGCTGCGGTGGCTAGGGTCGCGGGTTCGATCCCCGGCCCGGCGAGATGTTAACTACCTCGCCTGGTATGCAGCAGGTCACGGGTTTGATCACCGACCCTGCAAGATGTTAACCACCTCGCCTGGTATGCAGGAGGTCGTGGGTCCAAAACCCGACCCTGCGAGATGTTAACTACCTCTTCTGGTATGCAGGAGGTCGTGGGTCCAAAACCCGACCCTGCGAGATGTTAACTACCTCTTCTGTTATGCAGGAGGTCGTGGGTCCGATCCTTGACCCAGCGAAATGTTAACTACCTCGCCTGGTATGCAGGTCGCGGGTTCAATCCCCGACCAAGCGAGATGTTAACTACCTCTTCTGTTATGCAGAAGGTCGTGGTTCCGATCCCCGACCCAGCGAGATGTTAACTACCTCGCCTGGTATGCAGGTCGCGGGTTCGATCCCCGACCCTGTAAGATGTTAACTTCCTCGCCTGTGTATGCAGGAGGTCGCGGGTTCGATCCCTGACCCTATGAGATGTTAACTACCTTGCATGGTATGCCGGAGATCACGGGTTTGATCCCCGACCCAGCGAGATGTTAACTACCTCGCCTGGTATGAAGGAGGTCGTGGGTCCGATCCCCGACCCAGTGAGATGTTAACTACCTCGCCTGGTATGCAGGTCGCGGGTTCGATCCCCAACCCTGTGGAATGTTAACTACCTCGCCTGGTATGCAGGAGGTCGCGGTTTCGATCCCCGACCTTGTGAGATGTTAACTACCTCGCCTGGTATGCAGGAGGTCGAGGGTTCGATCCCCCACCCTGCGAGACGTTAACTACCTCGTCTGGTATGCAGGATGCCGCAGGTTCAACCCCCGACCCTGCAAGATGTAAACTACCTCGCCTGGCATGCAGAAGGTCGCGGGTTCAATCCCAGACCCTGCGAGATGTTAACTACCTCGCCTGGTATGCAGGATGTCGCAGGTTCAACCCCCGACCCTGCAAGATGTAAACTACCTCGCCTGGTATGCAGGATGTCGCAGGTTCAACCCCCGACCCTGCAAGATGTAAACTACCTCGCCTGGCATGCAGAAAGTCGCAGGTTTGATCCCCAACCCAGCGAGATGTTAACTACCTCGCCTGGTATGCAGGAGGTCGTGGGTTCGATCACCGACCCTGTGAGACGTTAACTACCTCGCCTGGTATACATAAGGTCGTGGGTTCAATCCCGTGACCATGAAGATGACTGCTACTGGTATATATTTGGAGTCTGTGTGTGTGGGGGGGTTTCTCTCCCCCCGGTGAGATGTTAACTACCTCGCCTGGGTTCGATCCCGACCCCTGACGCCTGCTGTATATTTGGAGTGTGCGTGTCTCTCTCTCTCTCCGTTGCCGTGTGCGTTTTTTTTCTCCGGGTCCTCCGGTTTTTCCGTACCACCTTTATAATCAACATCAAAATCACGCGTTTTAGAGTTTTTGAATGCCGCTATACATTCCCACACCATGCTGATATTAGCCGCATGGTTGAGCTATCATTTGCGATAGCCCCGCTGCACAGTAGTTCAGTGGGGCCTTACCTGGTAGAATAAAATAGTTTTAGTTGATTCTATGGGTCTCTATGGGTCTCTATGTGTCTCTATGGGTCTATATGTGTCTCTATGGGTCTCTATGTCTCGCTATGGGTCTCTATGTCTCTCTATGGGCTATATGTGTCTCTATAGGTATCTATGTCTCTCTGTGTCTATATGTCTCGTGTCTCTATATGTCTCCCTATGTCTCTATGTTTCTCTATGGGTCTCTATGTCTCTTTATGGGTCTATATGTCTCCAAATATGTCTATGTCTCTTTATGGGTCTCTGTTTTAATATATTTATATATGTCTATCTATGGGTCTATGTGTGTTCTTATGGGTCTCTATACATCTCTGTGGGTGTATATATATGTCTCTACACCTTTCTGCGTATCTCTATGGGTCTCTATGTATCTATATGGGTCTCTATGGGTCTCTATGTGTCTCTATGTACTGTATCTCTATGGGTCGCTATGTGCCTCCATGTGTCTCTGTGGGTTTCTATGTATTTCTATGGGCGCTATGTATCTCTATGTGTCTCCATGTGTCTCTGTGGGTCTCTATGTATTTCTATGGGTCTCTATGTGTGTCTATGAATCTCTATGGTTCTCAATACATCTCTATTAGTATCCGTGTCTCTGCAGGTCTCTATGTATCTCTATGGGTCTCTCTGGGTCTCTATGTCTCTGTATGGGTCTCTATGTATCTCTATGGGTCTCTATGTGTCTCTATGTATCTCCATGGGTCTATATGCATCTGCAATATCCACACGACAAGCCACTTGCTTGAGCTGCTCTCATTTGTAATGGCCACGTCGCTTCTGAAGAAGAGCTTCACAGCTCAGTGGGGTCTTATACTTGGAAAGATGACGCTCGTTTAGGTTTAGTTTACTCTGTGGGTCCCCCCCCCCTTCCCCTCTATCCCCCCTCCCCCTTCCTCCCCTCTCTTCATCCCCTCCCCCCTCCCTCCATCCCCTCCCCTCTCCCTCCCATATTCCTCCATCCCGCCCTCCCTCCTCCACTCTCTCCACTCCCCCCACATCCCTCACCTGCTCCCTCCCTTCCTATCCCTCCCCTCCATCCCATCCCTCCCCTCCCCCCTCCCTCCTCTCCCTCTCCTTCCCCCCTCCCTCCCCTACATCCTCTCTCTTCAACCCCTCTCTCCATCCCATCCCTCCCCTTCCCCCTCCCTCCCCCCTCCCCTCCTTTTCCTTCCCCCTCCCTCCCCTACATCCTCTCTCTCCATCCCCTCCCTCCCCTCCTTCCTCCCCCCTCCCTCCCCTCCATCCTCTCCATCCTCTCTCTCCAACCCCTCCCTCCATCCCCTCCCTTCTCACCCCCCCCCCCACCAACCCCACAGCTCCAGCCTCTTCGGTCCACCGAGCCCCACCCCCGGGCACGCGGCCTCGCCGCTGGCGACGTCCTCCCAGGGCCCCGGCGCGCCGGCCCCATTGGCCGGGGCCCCCCTCGGGGGTCCCCTCGGGGTCTCCCTCGGGGGTCCCCCGGCGGCGGCGGGGGGGGACCCCGCGGCGGCGCTGGCCCTGGGCCGCCAGCTCAGCTCGGGCCTCTCGAGCCTACGGCACACCTCGGACCGCTGGCGCGTCAGCCTGGACGTCAACCACTTCTCACCCGAGGAGCTCGTCGTGAAGACGGCGGGGGGATACGTCGAGATCAGCGGTCAGTGGCGGGGCACCCAGGGCCAATGGGGGTGTGGACCTGGGGCAATGGGGGTGCCCCTGGGGCAATGGGGTTGTGCCCCTGGGGCAATGGGTTTGTGCCCCTATGGCAATGGGTTTGTGCCCCTGTGGCAATGGGTTTGTGCCGCTGGGGCTCCACTGCCCACAGTAGCCACTGGGGGTGCCCCTGGGGCTCAACTTTGACTGCATTGCGCTGACACAGTAGACATTGGAAGTGCCCCTGGGGCAATTGGGGAGCCTCTGGGGCTCTACTTATACTGCCCACAGCAGCCACTGCGAGTGCCCCTGGGGCAATGGAGGTGCCCCTGGGGCTCCACTCCACTACACTGCACCAACAGAGTCGCCACTAGGGGAGCCCGTGAGGCTCCACTGGCACTGCCCACAGTGGCCACTGGGGGCACCACTGCACTGGATGCACACACAATGGCCACTAGGGGCTCCACTGGGACTTCACTTGCACTGCCCACAGCAGCCACTGGGAGTGCCCCTGGGGCAATGGAGGTGCCCCTGGAGCTCCACTCCTCTGCACAGCATTGCATCAACACAGTAGCCACTAGCAGAGCCCGTGGTGCTCCATTTGCATTGCCCACAGTCGCCGCTACGGGCTCCGCGGCACTGGATGCACACAAAGTAGCCATTTGGGGTGCCCCTGGGGCTCCACTGCCCACAGTAGCCACTGGGAGTGCCCCGAATGGCCTGAGAACCTCACGTCCGGGTGACTTGATGTCCCGATGACATGGTGACCGAATATCCTGATGGCATGATGACCTAACTACACGATGCCTCAACGATCGAATGACCCAATGACCTGATGACCTGGTGCACCAACGACAGGATGCCCTAATGCCCTAGTGGCACGATGACCTGGTGGCACGTCCTGACGTTCTTATGACCCGATGCCTTAATGCCCCGATGACCTCATGTCCTCACGGCGATAGGATGCCCGGATGTGCTAATGACGCGGTGCCCCCATGACCTGCTGATGTCACCCCACCCCCCCCCCCCCCAACGCAGGCAAGCACGAGGAGCGTCAGGATGAGCACGGATTCGTGGCCAGATGCTTCACTCGCAAGTACATGTGAGTGACCCCCACCCCCTCGCCCCCCCCCCCCGCCCACCTGCCCACCCGTCGCCATGGTGACCCGCAAGGTGACACCCAAGGTGACCTATCTGACCCCATGGTGGCCACACACTGACCTCCAATGACTTCTACGGTGAAGTCCCGTGACCCCACGCTGACCTATCTGACCCCGCAGTGACTCCGGTGACCTCCCATGACCCCCATGGTGATCTCCTGTGACCCCACGGTGAACACTAGTGACCCCACGGGGTCCTCACCGTGCCCTCCCCCCTGGTACCTCCTCCTCCACCCCCTCCCCCTCTCTACCACCACCCCAGGCTGCCCCCCAATATAGACACAGACCACGTGGTATCATCTTTCTCTCTCTCTAAACGGGATGGTCACCCCCTCCCCTCTGGTACCCCCCTTCTACCCCCACCCTCCCCACCCCCCACCCATGCGCCCCCCATCCCCCAGGCTGCCCCCCAACATAGAGGCAGACCACGTGGTGTCGTCGCTCTCCGCCGACGGGGTCCTCACGGTGGAGGCGACTCTCCCGTTGCCAGCGGCGCCCCAGGACGCAGCTGGCGGCGGCCACGCGGTGCCAATCCGCTACGAGAGCACCGCACGCATTGGCCTGCCCGCCACCACGGTGGGCACCACGGTGGGCACCACAACCGGTGCGACTGCGGGCACAGCCAAGGGGGGCAAGGCCTGAGCGGAGACACCACCCAGCCCTCCATGACAACCACCACCATCACAGTCACTACAGACACCGTGGGCAGTGTTCAAGATGGGGGAAAAACGTGAGCGGAGACACCACCCAGCCCTCCATCACAACCACCACCATCACAGTCACTACAGCCACCGTGGGCAGTGTTCAAAATGGGGACAACGCCTGAGCGGAGACACCACCCAACACTCCATCACTACCACAGCCAGTACCATCACCACCACAATCACCACCACTACAACCATCACCACCACCACCTTCCACCCAGCCCTTGCATGAGCAACACGGGGGGTCTTTGTCTACACGCGGCTTTGTGTGAAACCGGTAACCGAATAAAGCAGCAACAAAAAACCGGTTTCCATCGATCTCTGTCGCTTCAATACACAGCAAGAGAGCACCACAACCACCACCACCATCACCACCAACATCAACACAATCATCACCACTATCACCACAACCGTCACCACAACCACCACCACCATCACCACTATCACCACCAACATAAACACAATCATCACCACTATCACCACAACCACCATCATAACCACCACCATCACCACTATCACCACCAACATCAACACAATTATCACCACTATCACCACCAACATCAACACAATCATCACCACTATCACCACAACCATCATCATAACCACCACCATCACCACTATCACCACCAACATCAACACAATCATCACCACTATCACCACAACCGTCACCACAACCACAACCACCATCACCACCAACATCAACACAATCATCACCACTATCACCACAACCATCATCACCACCTCCACCACAATCACCACAACCATCACCAACAACAACCGCCATTCGCCACCCAGTGGCGGTGACGTCACCACGGCGCCTTTCCCAGGCTAGGTGCACGTCAAGGCCACGTGACCTCTTGCCCGCTGGCAAGAGGTCACGGGACAGACCCTGCAGGTGCCATGGGTTGTACTGCTGTGCCAGGCTAGGTGCATGAGCAGGAGGTGACAGGGCAGACTCAGCAGGTGTCACAGGTCGACTGAGTAAGATGAGTGGCCGATGCACCACCTTTGTCCCCTACTGTGCCAACTCGCTGTTTTATCCGCCCGGCGCTTCCGCTCGTTGTTGTGAGCGTCGCTCCTCCGCCCTCCGTTGTTGCTGGAGGACGACTGCCTCCAACACCACCACAACCACCATCATCATCACAACCACCACAACCATCATCACCATACTCACCACCACAACCATCACCACAACCACCACCACAACCACCACAACCACCATTATCACAACCACCACCACCATTGCAACCGCCATCATCATCACCATCACCACCACAACAACCACCACCAATACCATAACAACCACCACCATCGTTATCTACACACGGAGAGAGTTGAAACTCTGCTCCCGCTGGTGCCACGGGCTTTGTGCGAAACCGGTAACCGAATAAAAAAGCAGCAGCATCATACACCGGTTTCCACGGAGCGCTGTCGGTTCAATACACAGCCGTTTAACACCACCACCATCACAACCACCATCACACCCATCACAACCATCATCACAACCATTATCACAACTAACATCAACATCAGCACAACCATCATCACCATCAACACAACCAGCACCATCACCACCATCACAACCTCCACAACCATCACCACCACCACCATCAAAACCATCACCTCCACAACTACCACTACAACCACCACTACAACCACCATCACACCCATCACAACCATCACCACAACCACCACAACCATCACAACCATCACCACCACAACCACCATCAAAACAATCACCACCACTACAACCACCATCACACCCATCACAAACATCATCACAACTAATATCACCATCAACACAACCACCACCACCATCACCGCAACCACCACCACCACCATCAACACAATCATCATCACTATCACCACAACCGTCGCAACCACCATCACCACCACCACCACAACCATCATCACAACCTCCACCACCATAACCATCAACAACAACCGCCAATCGCCAAAAAGTGGCGGTGAGGTCACCACGACGCTTGTGCCAGGCTAGGTGCGCGTTGAGGCCACGTGAAGTGTCGAACACCTGCCGGCAGGAGGTGACGGGGCAGACCCTGCAGGTGCCATGGGTTGTACTGCTGTGCCAGGATATGTGCATGAGGCCACGGGACAGACCCAGCAGGTGACATGGGTTGTACTGCTGTGCCAGGCTAGGTGCATGAGGAGGTCACGGGACAGACCCAGCAAGTGACATGGGTCGTACTGCTGTGCCAGGCTAGGTGCATGAGGTCACGGGACAGACCCAGCAAGTGACATGGGTCGTACTGTTGTGCCAGGCTAGGTGCATGAGGTAACGGGACAGACCCTGCAGGTGACATGGGTTATACTACTGTGCCAGGCTAGGTGCAGGAGGTGGTCACGGGACAGACCTTGCAAGTGACATGGGTCGTACTGTTGTGCCAGGCTAGGTGCATGAGGTCACGGGATAGACCCAGCAAGTGACATGGGTCGTACTGCTGTGCCAGGCTAGGTGCATGAGGTCACGGGACAGACCCAGCAAGTGACATGGGTCGTACTGTTGTGCCAGGATAGGTGCATGAGGTCACGGGACAGACCCTGCAGGTGACATGGGTTGTACTACTGTGCCAGGCTAGGTGCAGGAGGTGGTCAGGGGACAGACCTTGCAGGTGGCACGGGTTGTACTGCTGTGCCAGGCTAGGTGCAGGAGGAGGTCACGGGACAGACCCTGCATGTGCCATGGGTTGTACTGCTGTGCCAGGCTAGATGCACGAGGTCACGGGACAGACCCAGCAGGTGCCATGGTTTGTACTGCTGTGCCAGGCTAGGTGCAGGAGGAGGTCACGGGACAGACCCTGCAGGTGACATGGGTTGTACTGCTGTGCCCGGCTAGGTGCACGAGGAGGTGACGGGACAGACCATGCAGGTGCCATGGACTAATCCCCATCTGTTCCATCTCACTCCCTTCTACACCCGTGAGTGAGCTGTCAGAGGAGGCGGTGTACCCCCTGTCTCTGCCAGGCAGAGATACAGAGACCCATAGAGACCCATAAAGACCCACAGAGATACATAGAGACCCATAAAGATACAGTCCCGTGGAGACCCACAGAGATACAGAATCCCGTAAAGACTCGTAGATACATAGAGACCCATAGAGTTCTGTAAAGATACATAGAGACCCACAGAGATACAGAGACCCAGAGTCCTATAGAGATACGTAGATATACATAGAGACCCATAGAGATACATAGAGACACATAGAGACCCATAGAGATACAGAGTCCCGTAGATACCCGCAGAGATACATAGAGACCCATAGAGATACATAGAGACCCATAGAGATACAAAGCGACCCATAGAGTCCTGTAGAGATACATAGAGACCCACAGAGATACATAGAGACCCGTTGAGACCCATAGAGATACAGTCCCGTACAGACCCAAGGGCCATTTGGACATTTATAACATCATTCACGGGCCATACAAAATTATCAACTTAAAAATTAGACTGTTATATTTGGTCAAACATTTAATTAACTCACCCCTAATGTGATGGCTGGAACTGCCAAATGATTTCGCGGGCCTTATATGGCCCGCGGGCCGTACGTTCTCCACCCCTGGCATTCTACAGCATCCCAGATCAGAGAATGAGGCTTACCACAGCCTTTGCTCGGGGGTTCGGAGAGCTGTGTGGCACTGCAAGGATGGGTGGTGATAGTGGGTTGCTGAGGAGATGGAATCTGCCTCAGTAGCCCGCAATCACAAATGACTCTTTAATTCCATAAAAAGAGTAATTTCCAGTGCCACACCTATCACCATCATAAGGGGAAACAGTAATCCGATCTGACCAGCAGGAACAGGTTTGCAGATTGAGAATTTCTGCGAGGTCTTCATGGAAGGGAAATACCATGGGGCAAAGTGGGGATGACCCTGCTGCCTCAAATATTGCAAGTCACCCCCTGAGAAGCTGGCCTAAGTGGTATTTGTTGAGGAAGCACGGAATGTGATCCAGTCTGTGACCAGGAAAAGCACGGAGCAGAGATGATCTCCCAAGCGAAATGCTGAGGGTGGCGTTTGTGCACAGACTGCCCTATATGACAGCATAAGTCTGGACCACTGGACGGGTTCCGCAGGATTGGAAGGATGCCCTAGTGGTCCCCCTCTTTAAGAAGGGGGACCGCACAGACTAACAAAAAAAACTGGGGCATCTCACTCCTCGGTGTGCCAGGAAAGATCCTGGCAAAAATTATTCAATATCGCCTTGACAGGCATTCTGAGGAGAGGCATACGAAGCCCAAATGTGGTCTCTAGGAAATAGTCCTGCAGAGATGAAATATTTTCTGTCCGTCTGCTACAGCAGTGGTGTCTGGAATTCGAACACGCCCTAGAACAGCTCTGCTTTAATGACCTGGTCAAGGCCTATGAAACCACCAGCAGGCCTGGGTTCTGGGTTGTTGTTCGTGCTTTGGGCATCTCTGACTCTCTGCTCTCAATTATTAAGGACCTTTATAGTGGTGGGCAGGTCCGGGTAAAACTACGTGGCTAGAAGTGGGAGCTATTCCCTGTTCACCTTGGGGTGCTACAGGGATGTCATCTGCCTCCAACATTATTTAACAGCTATTTCAGCCACGTAGTTCGTGAAGCGTTTTCTGGCTGTACGAGAGGAATTTCCGTCTGGTACAGATACAAAGGGAGGCTGATCGATGGCTCCCTATTGGTCAACCATGTTATGCATGCTAATAATCTGGTGATTGCTGCTCACTCGAGGATTTTGACTTAAAACTTTCGTGACTGCAGGAATTCATATTCTTGGTTCTTTCGGTAAAAAAAATGGAAAACAATAAAAGCAAATAACCCACGTTTTGAACACAACACAAGCTCTTTTCTTTTTAAATTTCTTTTTATTTTCTATCTAGGTGACTTTACCGAAAGAACCAAGAACACTCAGGAGGAGTTGGAGGCGCCGCTACTGAAACTGGAGTACCTGCCTGGATATTTTGTATCATCAAACACTCCACCCCCACAACTCCCAATTGGTGATAGAGCAGTTGTGGAGTGGAGAATGTTTCATACCTGGGCAGTGTGCTCATGATCGACTCTGGTTTGACAGCAGAGGTCTCACTATGAATCAGTCGAGCAGCATTGTCTTTTTAAATCCTTTATATTAAGTTCACATGCTTGCTTGCGTGCTTGCTTACGACCGTGCAAATCTTTCGGTCGTTTTTTAACCCACTTCCCGTGATCCAATCGAGCTGACATTTTCCAAAATTTTACACTTTTTAGGCAAAAATTTTTTATTTTACATATATTCAAATAGAACTCATT